GGTAGAAGGTGCTGTGCAAGGAAAGACTGGGCACAGAGTCTCTGCGATTCACGGACAGATCTTCACACTCCTGAAACGCATCTAATGAACGAACAAATGAAATGTTTCCTGCAAAAGCCCACTCCTCTTTCCCTCCTCTTTTATTTCCTACGGGAGGGTCCAATCACCTTCTACCTGTGACTTTACTCCCAAATCGACCCTGATTTCTGAATTGTTCTTTTCTTCTGGCAGCTCTGCGCATGCGCACACTGGGATCAGGCTCCAGCTGTTTCTCTGCCTCACTGCTGTCTAGCTTCGTAGGCACCTGATCACTGCCAGACGGCCTCGGCCCTGTCTCTGCCTCCGATGCAGAGCTCTTGTCAGAGCCTTCCCCAGCCTCCAGGACTGGCCCATGCTCCTCCCAAACCTCCTCACTGTCCAACTCTGCTGCCAGCTCTGCTGGCCGGCCACAACAATATCTACCTTCTATAGTTAAGAAATATTTTGTCCTTATCTCCCCTCTCCTTTTCTTTTGCTTTAGTCTAATTTTGGCAGGATGTATTCTTATCCAGAAGAGAGAGAAAAAAAGAGCAGCTAGGTTCTGTGATGATGTTATGTTATAACCATTACACCTATTGAAGCTAGTCCGGCTAGCAACAGCTCTATAGCAGATGAGGCCTACTGTCATCTGTGATTGTATCCAGACAAAGAGGGACTGACCTGAAAGAGCAGACGACAGAGCAGAGCATACAATGAACAGTGCCTATCGCAACAAGCAAGGCATTTTGTCTCGTGACAGGAAAGGTATTCACTTATTGCTATTGTCTGCATCACAAAAGCTTACCATAGACTATTCAGTCTACCCATGAAATATAACCGGGAAGAGCTGCAAATCATTTCGTGTGGGCTTTGTGTCCACATAGTGGCATTTAAGGGCCCGGCAAACTCCTTTGTGTTAAATCTGAGGGAAGCTGGCCAAGGACCAGGAGAGAAATCCAAGGAATCACTGAAGGAAAGAAGACACACTGCCCCCTTTGTCAATAAAGCAAGAGGTAGACAAGGGTGGAGATACTGTGAAAGTCCACAGACAACTATGGATATCTTATTTAAAGTGTGGCGGGGTACAACTTCATTACAGTCCGCCTGTTTTGAAATTTTTTTTGTGACAAGTTGATATACACTGAGAGACAGTTTGGTATAGTGATTAAGGTGACAGGCTAGAAACTGGGACACTATGATTTCTAGTCTTACCTTAACACAAAGGCAACTGGATATTTTGGTCCAGTTGGTCTCTCTCAGCCCTAAGGAGGATGCAATAGTAAACTACTTCTGAAATCTTTCCAAGAAAACTACAGGAACTTCTCCAGGCAGTTGCCAGGAGTCAGCATTGACTTAAGGAAAAGGTAAAGGTTCCTCTCGCACATATGTGCTAGTCATTCCCGACTCGAGGGGGCAGTGTTCATCTCCATTTCAAAGCCAAAGAGCCAGCCGAAGACGTCTCTGTGGTCATGTGGCTGGCATGACTAAATGCCGAAGGTGCACGGAACGCTGTTACCTTCCCACCAAAGGTGGTTCCTATTTTTCTACTTGCATTTTTACATGCTTTTGAACTGTTGGCAGAAGTTGGGGCAAGAAACCGGAGCTCAGTTCATTATGCAGCACTAGGGATTCGAACCGTCAAACTGCTGACTTTTCTGATCAACAAGCTCAGAGTCTTAGCTGCTGAGCCATCACGTCCCTAGCATTGACTTACACACATATAAATTGCCCTGATTGGGACAGTCTATAAGTACTGTACCACAGACACATATATCCACTTTCAGAAAAGCCACGCCCTTCTGATAGCCATTTTGAGAATAGGACAGTTGCCCTCTTCCCCACCACGGTAGACTTTTTCTTAAAGCATTAAAAAATACCAATTGCGACCTCTGCTTTATTTTGTTAGTGAAATTCCTTCTTCTTCTTCTTCTTTCCAACTAATTGAAAACTTGAAAACTGCCTCTATGTTGGCTGAAACTATATTTGCTCTGAAACACTCATTCTGTTCTATTTTTTTTTTCTTAGATCAAATAATGGCTATCATGTTTCAGGCCTCTTCTATGCAATATCCCTACTACATTTAATATGAGAAGATAAACCAGTACTATGCCAAAAGGAAATCAAACTCAACTCTGCTCTGACTGCACATGTAACTGTACACTCTGATCAAATTAGACAACCCACACAATGAGTGCAGGTGTTTTTCTTTGGCACAAATCCATAGCTAGCTCTTTCAGACTAAAAACACAGAACAGTAAGAGGGATGCAATACACCAAATTGTAAGTGAATGGGGTTTTGGAGATCCAGGTCGTATTTACCATTTACATGGAGGGGAAAGTAAGGCAGCTGGTTTGCACTAAACTTCAAATGCTTTTTGGTGGGTGGATCGATTTGAAGAATCTTAAACTGGAAATGATGTTTTTGGTTTCAAGATAAGAGCATATTTATGCACATCCAGTCTTTGCTCACCATTGGAATCAAAGTACCAAATGACTTCTCCATGTGTTCTGTTCCACAGTAAGGCACCCACAGAACTCACTAGAGCCATGACGAGAAGGATGCAAAACAAAATGAGAATCTGCATATTGGTAACTTTTTCTACATTTGATCTCTTCAGTGGAGCTTTGGTTGAATTCTGGAAAGGAGCAGCCACATAATTGCAATGATTAATTGTGCTCACACACAAAAAAGAGTAATAAAAACAAGATGAAATTACAGCCAGACATTATGAAAGACTCACATCCATTATTAAAAACAGAAGCTGTGTTTCTCTTCATCCTTTCCTCCCACGGCAGCTATCAATTTAAAACACAGAATGCCACCTGCTTTGCACTAGTAGCCAGTCTTCTCCAATCCAGTGGCTTCCAGGTGTGTTGTATCAGATAGTTCAACACATCTGGATAGCAACAAACTGGGGAAAGTTGAAATAGACATTCTAAAGGAGAGAAGACTAGCTGTGTTCACACAACACATTTAACCAGATCGGTTGCAAAACTTCTGGTTCAGGGGAGGGTTCAATGGAAATTGTTCTGCATAGGCACAGATCTCCCAAAAAAGATGGTGGCAGCAGCGGTGGCAGCTGGGGAAGTGGTTCAGGGGCGTGGACAGCCTGGGTCAATGCCGGTTCTGCGATCCAGGCCAGCATACCACTACCGGTTCAGCCGAACCGGTAGGAACCCACCTCTGTTCTGGTTGCATTTCCACAAATGCCAATCTTTGTTGTTGTTGTTGTTTTATTGCTTAGCTTGTACTGCAAAGTCCACCTACTATTTGTGGTTCACTATTTATTGTGGAAATGTGGACAGCAGATTAATTCGTTAACCAATCAAGTATCTTCTGGAATGCAGTTCACAAGATGAGAGTGATTATGCATCCCTGCAGTCTATAAGTAGTAGCAGAATGAGCATGATCTCCTTTAATTAAAGGAGACATTAAAGACCTTGCTGTAATTGGAAACACAGTCCCTAATTATTTTAGCATTTTAACTATAGCTTGCCATTTACTAGCCAATCTATTAAGATTACCTATCTATTGCTCTGTGTGCACATACATGTATACTCTGCAAACATAGTTGCATTTTCTCCAAAAAGTTAAACACCACAATCTTCTAATATCTATAAACTTCTGCACTATTATAATCACAGCTACTAAAGCTCAGTCTAAAACAGGGGTGTCAAGCTCACAATGATACATCCTCATATGACATATCGCAAATCTTTTCCCCTTCGCTAAACCAGGGGTGGGCATGGCCAGCACATGATGCATCCTGCCCATAGGCCGCGAGTTTGACACCCCTCGTCTAAAATAAAAAAACATGCAAAATGTACAATAAATCTGCCAACTGAAAGTTATTGTACCTAATGTTACCATTTTTCAATGCACAATTTCAAGTGTTGTTTTTAACTTTTAATATCCCGCATGATTGAGAACTTCATTATCTCGCTGTCTTGGTGTAAACTTGTGCATATATTAGCATAAGTAGGGAAGGTCCTGTTAAAAATGTGTTGCATTCTGACATTAATTTTCCTTCAGAACTGTGGGGTGCTTTGCCTCAAGACTCGCTCCCATGTTTTCTGCTTTAGAAAAAGAAGTCAAGCTGTTCTCTCTAAGCCAGATCTGATCAGTTTGAGTTAGTTTTAACACTGATATTAACTGTTTCCATGACATTTTTTATTGTTTATGGTAGGTTTTATTTTTTTAAAAATTCTCACTAGCCTTAGATGCTACATAGGCAAAAGAAAAGTAGGATCTAAGTGTTGAAAATACCCAAATAATTAAACAATAAAGATATATTTGAAATCATTGCTGGGCTTCCTAACAGAAACATGTTAAGACTTACAAACAGATCAACAAATACTTACCTGCATAAGTTTCGTGTCATGTCCTGTGTAGACAACTATTCCTAAAACCCACTGAGTGTTTCTTATTTGTGCACCTCTTAGTAAGATCTGATCAGGTCCAATTGGAACTGGACTGATGAGAAAGAAGAGAAAAACGGAAGATTGATGTTTATAGTATAATAAAAAGCAAAATTTGGGTTTTCTAAATAGACTCATTAGAGCAGTAAAAGTAGTTGTAGCTATTTATTTTATTTATTATACAAATTTATATAATCATCCAAGTGGCTATACAAATAAAGTCTGTATAGGTGAAGCCAGGTAGCTTACAAAATTTAAAAAATTCACCATGTAACAAAAATCCATTTAAAACCCCACCCCCAATGGCAGCAACAACACAATCAAATCAGCAATTGCTGTCATTACTGCTAAAGTACTATCATTTTAAAAAATGTCCTTATGGACTATTTAAAAAGTCTCTCATGGTGGCATGCAGTTAAAATGCGAATAGACTCAATTAAAAAATCTAATACACAATAAGTTAAATCAAAATCAAAAATTAAAAGCAGTGTACTATAAATGCATTAGGAATAAAATGCTATGAATGCAGCAGAAAAAAGTTAAAGTACAAGACAAAGGCCTAAGAGGATCTATCATATTTTTATCATCATCATCATTATCTCCTTTTAACGACCCCATAATCTTTTGCAGGGTGGAGTCTGGGCAACTGAATGCAGCTACAAACGTTTTTACTGGCCGGATGCCCTCCCTGTCACCAATGCGGAGTTTTGTTCAGCAGATATATTCTCATTGTGCCCAGAGAGAGAAATATCTGTCTCTACCTAAGATTGAAACTCACAGCCTCCTGACTATGAGGTGAGAGTTCCACCTCCCCTCCACTACACCACTCCAGGATCTATCCTATATTTTGTGCTACTTGAAGTTTCTAGACAGTCTTAAAGTGTTATTCTCAATATTTCTTATTGACTCAATCAATTCATTCAGCAGCAGGAATCAAAGACCTAATTTTCTCTGGTTTTACCTTATGTTTTTCTAACTGAAAATAACTTTCACTTAACAAAGAATTTGATTAACCATCTTCCATTTCGTACTGTTTGCCACACCAGATTTCAGATATAGAATATATCTACTGTTGAGAAAGTTCTAGTCATGCAAAAGGTGTTTTTTTGGAGGGGGGGAATACCAGGTGCTTTCATAGCAACTGAATACCTTTGATTTTCAAGGCGGAGATTTCCAGTGAAATCATAGAGGTGCCGATTGGGTCCTTCACACTCTATCTTCCCAGACATTTTCATCAAGTCTTCTTTTGATTGGAGGTTAGCAGTCTGAATCAATCCCTGTATAGAACCAAGCCATAGATATAGTTGACAAAATATGCATCCTCTTTTACAAATTAGGAACATATCTTCCTAGCGCTGAGGTGCCAAATTCAAGGCCCGTGGGCCAGATCTGAGCCACAGGGTGCTTAGATGCGGCCCATGGGGCCACCATGGAAACAGCAACGGATTGGCCCACTGTGCCTCCGCCAGCAAAAGTAAAGCTCGGAGGGCCACAAGACAGCCTCCCTGCAATTGTCTACCAGCAAAAACGGAGCTCAGGAGGGCCGCTCTATTTTCACTCGCAGAGCACTTGGGCTGCCACAGGCACCGCCAACATGAGTGACATTGAGCTGGCCACGCCCATCCTGGCCACCCCCACCCACCCCCTGAGGTCAGACACACCCTGACGTGTCCCTCAATGAAATCAAGTTTGACCACCTTGTCCTAGTGGAACCTCAAGCCTACAACTTCCAGCTTCTCTCAGCATGGGCCACCTAGGATGATAAGAGGAAGCTTTCCAATTCCCACAGAACTTCAGAATCCTCACCAGTACAAAGACCTCACGCTCTGGCTTCCGGGAAGTCATTACATCCTGATTTTATTCTGGCTATAATGAAATGATACTTTTGCCCATGTTAGACCTCCCTATCGTTTACTTTCGAAAGAAACAGATGAAAGTTCCTACCGTAAAGTATAAGAATGTTTTTGCTTTTCAGTGAGAACTAGCAGATAAATTCTCTGAAAGATCCTAAAAATGCCTCTACATACACTGCCCCAAGCCACAAACGAAAATAGGGAGAATATGTAGACTAATTCTGATTTCCTTCAATGCCAAATTCTCAGTCTAAACTGTCTGTCTGTCTGTCTCTGTGTGTGTGTGTGTGTGTGTGTGTGTGTGTGTTCTAGCATAACTCTGGAATGCCTCGTGCAATTTCAACCAAACTTGGTAAACATGGCTTACTCTCTGGAAACAAATACTGTGGTGGTAAGACAATCCTAACACCCCTCAGAGTGTGTGTTCTGTTCAGATACAGTCTGTTGTGCCTTAAAATGGTTTCTACTGTACTGCCATAAATGGCTTCTACTATACAGTGCAATGGAGTTGTCATGGTAACGGCTTCACACAACTCCACAAGGGGGCTCCCACTGTGGTGGCCCAAGTGCTCTGCCAGCAAAAACATTAGAAATTGGTCCGGAAATTTTCTCCCTATAAATAAATACCCGGTAACGCTGGGTTATCAACTAGTCGTTTAATAAAAGCCATTGCTTAATGAACAAGATTTTAATACAAGAAAATCCAAAGATCCCAGGGAGATACATAATTCTGACTAATGTGTACCTAGAACAAAAACAGCATTGTAATTACAAACCTGGCAACGATCTTCAAGAATGATTTCCCAATATGTCTCATGCTGTATTGTCTTAAAACCCAACAAATACCTCTAGATCAGCATTTCTCAATCTTGG